CGCATACAAAAATTATCTATATGAAGCATTCTAAGTCAATGAAGAAACAAACCATGGTAATGGTGTTAAAAAATGCGTGTTTGCATTGGTAAGGGCTTGGGGAAGGGTACCAAACTGAAGTATGAGGAATGTGAGGACACTTAGCCACAGTGACCACCAGCCACAGGATGCCTGGAGTAATCCAGGGGATGGAAAGAGAGCAAGATGGGGAGGAGCATGGCTCAAGCATGAAAACACTTTCAGCAGCTCTAAGAGGGGAAAACATCCCACGTGTTGAGAGGTTCATGGGACTTCATCTGCCTGGTTGAACAGAAGGAGCAACGAGGGGAACTACAGTAGAAAACACTAAGTGCTGAAAGAGCTCTTCAAAAAAAATGGAGAAAAAGCATAATCAGAACAGTTGTCYGTATGGGTGAATGACACAAATTTAAGCTAGAAATAAGATATATCTTAATATGAGAATGAGTCGTTAAATAAGGCCAAGGATTTTCTTTATACCTGTTTTCTTATTGGGTATAGGCTCTGCTCAGGTTGAGTTTAAAGCAAAAGGAGCAAGATGATGTATACTTTATATGGTCATTTTGAGATGACTGTCTTGCTTTAAAGACTGTCAGATCTCTATCTGTGGGAGGCTTTTATTTATGGGAAACCTACCTAYGTGTAAGTACTTAACTGAGATGGGCTTCTTGGCAGATAAGGAACCCTTCAAAGAGGTAAAGTAGAGGCATCACTAAAGAGGATTTCTAGAGAAAACTGCCAGAGAACAGGACCTCCAGGATGGCTGTGGGAAACGCAGGAGCTGCAGCTCTTTGGATGGCTGATGAAGGCACCACATATCCATATATTCCCGTATATATGGGAAGGGCCTCCAAGTTGGAGAAAGGAATTGGCAAGGAAGTTCTCTAGACCTTACTAATAAAGAAGTTCCTCACAATGCAGCAGTGACCTATGTGACCTAACCGACAAAATAAGGAAAATTACCAAAAATAATCTGATGTTCCATGCTCCACGGTGGGGAAAGAATAAAGAGATTTCTGATCACAAATGTAGGCAAATGACTGCTAGCACAAATGTTCTGATATCAATATAATCACGTAGCTGAAGATATGTCATTTTGCACTTGCAGGATATAGGGGTAATTAAGTATTTTAGTAGCTGAAATGAATATAGAGCATTCCTAAATGCATGTATTAAATGATATCTTGCAAATAGCCTTACACGGAGGAAAAAAAAGCACTTCTGAAGCATTGTCACTGATGCCAGTGCCACGTGCTTCAATTGCTAGCTACATTTCCCTATGTGCAGCACTTACAGAGGTGCATTGAAAATCTATTCTAAGGAATACTACATAAAGCAAGACAGTGGCTTAAGTATTAGGATATTAGTATTAATATTAATTAGCATTATATTTTTATTATATATMTATGTTTTTTTCAAGATAGCTGATTTTCACTTGAAGTGAGGTTTTTTATAGGCAGGTATATGTAACAAAAGATTTAGAGATGCTTTGTGATTTTCTTTCTACCACTAGATGGTAGTATGYGTTATTTAAAGTGCATTTAGGATAAATGTCTTACGGCAATTTTACATTTTTTCMCTCATGAATCCGCTATTGGATTTACATTTACCTGCTAAGGGTTCAGGCCATTACACCACTACCAGGTACGTGAATAGTTTTCAATGGCAAACATTATACTAAGGTGCCAGACTGAAACTAGAGGAATTTCCTGGTAAAATTTGTTTCTTGTTTGCATATTTTTAAGTATAGGTAATAGATTTGTATTTAGATGAAATTTTTGTAGAGAGCTAGAACTTCCAATGTGGGGAACACAGGTAGCTTCTCTTTCTTTGAAGAGGTGAATGCCACCCACTCATGTTGGGAAGCAAATTTGAGATTAAGGGATGAGATTAAAAACGCACTAGTTTGTCTGCAAGTTGGAATAATTTAGTGTAGTTTCAGCTAATTCATGTGCAAGTTATTATGTTGCTGTTGTTTTCTTTTGTCTTTTAAGGTACAGTTTGTCTGAACTATTGTGAAAACCAGTACAAGAATGCATGCAGACTGAGGGCAATTACAGCAATCAGTCACAAAAATACCCTGATCTAAGATGAGAGCTTATCTCCCTAAGAAAGGCTTACACGGTTCAAAACACTCAGATTACAGTCTGGAAAAAAAAAAAAAAACTAAAAGCAGAGGAGGGAGAAGGCAAATGGTTATCTCTTCACTTAGCATTTTTCTCCTTCTTGCTGTATCGTCAAAGATCCCATTAATATTGGCTGAGACCAGTAATCCACTAGTTTAAAGTCTTTGATCTGTTGGGAAAAAAAAAGGCCAGTAGAGATAACTCTAAGATGCGGTAACAGCGGGATCTCAAGTAGTGGGGCTGCTGCAAACTTTGCTGGAATCTCTGCTGCAAACTTTGTGCAATACATATTGGACGTGTATTGTGCAATACAAGTGGGACAGCATTTCCAACCAGCAGAATTCGTTTTCTTCCCCCCAAGTTCTTCACTTTCCCGTAAGTTTCTTGTTCTATGCTCCATTTTGGAAAAGGAGATCTGTAAAAATACCTTAGTTTTAACACTATTGAAAATACTTGCCATACCATGTTTTAAACAAATTATTAACATTGCTGAACAAGCCATCCATGATGGCCTGTAGGAGTATATTCAGAGTTTGGTAACAAAATCTAATGCTGGGTTTGGCCCAGCATGTTTTTTTTTTTTCCCCAAGTGCACACTAACATGTATTGCCTAAACAAATGTAGTCAAAAAAATCATGACCTAGAATATTAAACATTCAAAACTGAAGTTTTTTTCAGTCTGGCTAGATGATTCCCGACGATAAGGCCATTATGTGTAGTGAAGTGTTGCTTTCTAAATACCTCCTGGGTCTATGTGCTATGGTATGAATGCCAGGTGTCTCCCCACTCTTATCTTTGAGAAGTTTCTCAAAGCCTGGAAATGCAGTATAGGATATGCCCTCCATTTGCTAAGAATGAGTATCCTCTAATAAAAAGGAGTTCTAACGTCATTGCACTGGCTCTATCTGCCTCATTATGGGAACCTGAGTACATTTAACTAGCAGCCATGCTTTGGGTCTTGCACAGGAGAGAGGGAGGTTTTTGATTCATGGTTCTTTCACTTTTCCGACCCCGCTCATTCTTGTGTAACCCTGCATAGGTAGAATATCAGGTCTTTTTTTGCCAGCTATTATCCAGCACCTTCTCACTACTTGCTGCATCTTACTACTCTGTATTATCTTTATTACACAATGTACTCTACTGGGAGGCAATGAGGAAAATAGGCAAGTATCACAAAAACTTCAAAAAAAAAAAAAAAGCAAGTTCATTTTGGATGAACTAGTCCATTACTATCTGAATGTGCTTAAGTATTTGTGTGTGTATATATGTATATATACATACATAGGTAAGAAAATAATGGCCTGCATCAGGAGGATGTTGCCAGCAGGTCAAGGGAGAGGATCCTGCCTCTCCACTCAGCTCTGATGAGGCCGCACCTGCAGTATTGGGGGTAGTTCTGGGCTCCTCAGCACAAGAGGGACCTGGAGCTCCTAGAGAGAGTCCAGCGGAGAGCGACAAAGATGATTAAGGGACTGGAACATCTCTCGTAGGAGGAGAAACTAAGTGAGTTGGGTCTGTTTTCTCTGGAGAAGAACGAGAGGGTATCTTATAAATATGTACAAATATCTGAGGGAAGAACGTAAGGAGGAGAGGGCCAAACTCTTCTCAGTGGTGGCCAGTGATAGGACAAGGGGCAATGGGTGTAAGCTGCAACACAGGCAGTTCCATCTGCATGTGAGGAGGAACTTCTTCCCTGTGAGGGTGACAGAGCCCTGGCACAGGCTGCCCAGGGAGGCTGTGGAGTCTCCTTCTCTGGAGATCTTCCAAACCCGCCTGGATGCCACCCTGTGCCCCGTGCTCTGGGTGTCCCTGCTGGAGCAGGGGGTTGGACTGGATGATCTCTAGAGGTCCCTTCCAACCTCAACCATTCTGTGAAAAGTTTGGCTAGGACAGTTTTGTTGGACTGACCAACAGTTTAGGAGGAAAGACTAAGCATGCTAGGCAGACTTTGTTCCCCCATGTAGGAATGTCTGATACAAGCAGCTCCCTGAGCCTAGGTAGGAAAGGAATAGTCCACTTCATGTAGCCTTTTGACCCAGGGAAAGAGAGAAGGGTTCTAAAACGGTATCTGCTTCAGCCCCAAGGTAAGGAGGGAGGGAGACAGACATGCATGGCTTTATGCCACTTTTGCAGATCTTCTTTCACAAATATAGAAAATCAATCCATAGCAGGAAGATACCTCTGAAGAAAGTACAGAGAAGTGTTTATCAATCACTTTTCAGCAAAACCCAATGCAAAAAAACGTTATCCAGCACTTTTCTTCTTTTTTTCTCCCTTTCTGTCCCCTACATGTTCTCAGAAGCCTTGTGCTCTGCGAACCATTCATGGCATGGGACAGTTGCTTGTTCTTGACACAGGTAAGAGAAACAGGACATATATGACCGCAACTTGAGCCCGCCATGTATACAGAAGAGATATTTTTATTAATATTTATTCATCTGTTGGGCACAACGGCCTTCTCTGCGCTACGAATGAAGGCACATGGTGATGGACCCGCGGCCGCAGCGGTGCCGGGGGTGCCCGCGAGCCGCCGTGGGGCCCGGAGGGCGCCTCCCGCCCCGCCGCAGCCCCACGCGAGGCGCCCGCCCGGCCGCGGCGGCGCCCGCAGCTCCCTCGCGCCCACACTCAACATGGCGGAGGCGGCGCCCGCCACCTGTTGCCGCCGCGGCGGCGGCCGCCTCCTATTGGCTGCCCGGGCGCCTTGCGCGGGGGGGGCAGGAAGGAGACGGTTAAACGGCCGCGGGGGTTAAAGAAGGGGGGGGGTAAGAAAGGGGTTCAACGGCCGCCGCCGCGGGGCGCTCAATGGCGGCGCCCCGGCCGGGCCCCGCCCCGCGGGGGCTCCGCTCGCCTGCGGCCATGGAGAGCGGCGGCGGCGGGAGGGGCCCGGCGGGGCAGGAGGAGCCGCCGCCGCCGCCGTTCGAGGAAGGAGGCGAGGAGGAGGCGGCTGGGGAGGAAGAGGAGGAGGCGCCGCCGCCGCCGCCCGAGTCGGAGTGGAGCTTCCTTGAGCGCGCCATGGAGGCGGTGGCGCTGCAGGACGTGCCCAGCACCACCATCGCCTGCAACCTCGACCCGCGCGTCTTCCAGGAGGGCCCGTGCCGGGTGAGGGCGGCGCGCGGGGGCGGCGGGGCAGCGCGCCGGCCGCCTCGGGCTCCCTCTGCCGGCCGCAAGCCTCGCTCGGCCGCTGCCGGGGCCCTGCCCCGTGGGAGGAGGAGGCCGAGGGGCGGCAGCGCAGCGGCTCTGCCCCGGGCCCGCTCCCCCCGCGCGAGGCCGCGGGGCAGGGTGGTTTTATCCCGCTGGCCCCGCCGCCCTGGGCGGGCTCTGGGCAGCCTTCGTGCGGCTGCCTGGCCTCCGCTTTCATCGCGGGGGCCCCCTCGGGCTGACCGGCAGGTTAGGGCCATTAAGTGGGTAGAGGTGAAGGGGAGAAAGGCGCCTCTTTTGTCTCTGAGAGCTGCCTGGAGCGTTGCCTTGCCTCGCTAAGCCCTAACTGCAAAGTTTGATGCCCCCTGAAGGCAGTGGGTGAGGCGCAAGGCAGGCGGCAGCGTTTGGACCTGGGAGCGTGTGGGCCAGGCAGCTGGTGTGCAGGGAGCCGAGAGGACGTGGAGCTGGTCTGGTGCAAGCAGGTGGGGTAGCGGTGGCAGGAGCGCCCCAGTCTGCTTCCATACCCCAATGCCTGGCCATTTGGCAGGAGCTGCAGCTCCCAGTGCCTCGCTGGAGTGAAGAGGAGCACRGGGAGGCATTTCCATTCCGATTCATACTGCCTGAGTATCACACAGGGCTTGTAGTGCTTCTCAGGGTGGAGGAGCATTTGGTTTAAAATACTGCTCCAGAGCTGGGAAAGATGACAGCAACTGTCAGAGGAATCCAGCAATTCTGCAGTAGGTGCAAAAATGAGTATTTCAGATTTGTTCCTCTACATGTTGTTCTTAGGTGTCACGAAGCAGGAAGAATTCAAATCGAGCTTATTTTTTTCATGCTTCGTTTTCATGTCTCRCTGCTGTCTAAAGCAAATGAATGAATGAAGTTTAACAGTTTAATTCCTCTCTGTGTTCCATAGCTGGTTAGGCTATCAGGCTTTTTTTTTGTCTGTGTCAGTTTGATACTGAAGTTTGATTCCCCTTGAAGGAAAATATGATTGGTKMT